CTGAGAGGAATGTTCTACTGTTGCTTGATAGTTAGCATTTATTCTAGCATTCAGAATGTAGATGATGGAATTAGCAGCTTTATCAGAGAAGAGGGCTGTGAACAGTGTGGCACGAAGCCGTTGGCAGGCATTAAGAGCCGTAGCTCGTCCCCGTGTCGAGGATACGGACTTTTCAAAGTCGGTGAATCTATGATATGAAAGATTGATTTGTGATAAATAAAAACTTTTTATCTAAATGTTTTGACAGTTACTGTACGCAGTTTATCACTTTGAAATAGAGGTCGTTGTAATTATTTGACTTATTAGGACTGGTTTAACACATGGCTCATCTCACTATGAAGGTGTTGCAAAGCAAAAGTTCTACTTTCTGACGTTCTTTGATATCTAGAGATCTCTACCGTTCCTTGTAAATGACGCTACTTCACTTCACAGAAGGGGTGCTTATTGTTGCTAGAAGTATGTGATAAGAAAAAGTTCTATAAATTAACACTTCATGGACAGCAGCTGATCGATCGCACAGCGCAACTCGCAAGAGGCGAGCGAGTTCCGTTATTCAATTAGGGCTTTTTCTTCATATGGGAGGCAAAACCTTAGGTGCTTTGCGTTACTCCGTTACTCTTTAGTTTTCTCTACATGGTTATAGGTTTTTCGTGCACAAAGAACTTTTCTGTACGATAAAAACTTTAAATGCGAAACGTAGTCTTCTTTTCCCTCTTACGGCGTTCTATGACAAACTTTAAAAAAACCAACTGCAGCGTCGAAATCATCGAGATATGGGCTATCGAATGCATGGTAAGAGTTTGGCAAAGAGCAATATACAAGCCCCAGCAGAGTAAATAAGCAAATTGAGTGTGAAATATAATTCTTTATGCGCTGCTACAACGTAATAGAAAGGGTTCTTCAAAATCAAACATATTGTTGAAATTACAGAGATTTGAGCTTTCGCATCATTACCAAATGTCCAGAAGAGAAGTTTAGCCCGGCGTGAAAAGCCTCCAAACAATCGCGTGCCAGAGCCAGCATACGCCGTGCCTTAGGGGTTGAAGATATTTGATAAGACCGGCTTCTTGCTAACCACAGCATCGAAGTCAGTCTATGTAGATATGACCACTCTTCAAGTCGGTGTAGAACAACAATTATAACGACTATCAGCCTCGCTGCGGCTCAAAGAGCTTATCTTTTGATATTTACACTCATAGATAGTTTTGATGATACTCGCTATTGGGACGGTTGTATTTTGAGTTAATAGTGATCACTGTGTGGTCTACTCTGGCAGTTGTTCTCAACACATAGCCCATCAAGGACAGTAAATCACAATGCTTTTAGCTTGTGTTGTTTCAGTTGTAAGTTATTCTGTGTAATCTATGGAACTTTCAAATATGCTGAGTCTTCATTCAAACGATAGCTTTAAAGCAATCATTACCAGCATGGCTTTTCATTAGTCCTTTCATACCCTTCTTTTTTAAGGTAAACACATTCCTCTTCATCAGTATTACCTTAATCAACTGTAGTAAGGCTTTGAACAGGTTGGTGTTTTCACTTTTGGTCACGTCTAGATGTAAGTAAGACACTTTGATTACTCATTGACAAAGCATATCCAAATACTTCTAATTTTTGTTGACTTCTGCTTGTACTTGAACAGAGGAAAAGGCCCTATTCATTAGCTTAGCACGATATGAATCATATACGGTTCGTTTGAGATGTTTTGCATATGAATAATATATGATTCATGCTGTTCAAAACGCGTACTTGTTGTTCAGATTTTGAGAAAGGTTTTAAAAACTATGATGATTAGCTTTTCTATGGTAGCGAATTTGGACTCGATGCTAAGACCATGTCGCTGTCATAGGTTGATGTCGGTGAGTTGACCACGAATATGTTCAAAGCCTATTGATCCGCATCGCTTTATCCGTAAGTGCCTGATCATATTTCCTTGTTGTTCGAGTGCATCGATGTTCACGGCCGAACTCTTGTTGCGGAGAACGCCATCTTCGTCGACTTGTCTACTATCGCATGCTCCGAGAAATAGTTCTTATCCGCTATCATAGACGGCAATTAATGAGCCACCGCTGTCATGTCATAAGCCAACGGTGTCCTGTCATGTCAACTTCCCTGATAACGCTGTACTCGAACTTCTCAGCTTGCATCACCGGTTCCTTGTCATTGGAGAGTTCATTCGAATGATCGCGAATTGTAGGTAAAGATCACCTTTTTCTTTCTAGACTCAGGCCGCCTAGAATGGTCCAGGACATTTGAGCTATCCCTCGTTCCGCCTTACACTGCGATAGTAGGAAGTATTAATGTCAAAACATTAGGCCCATTGAATTAGTTGTTTTGGTCATACAGTACTCATACATGACAACGCGCCATACATGTGGGCATCTAGGAGAGTACAGAGGCTAAGTATGAGATTGGTGCACTGTAAAAACAATCCATCGCCCAGGGCTTCCTTTGTTCAAGCAAGTACACATTCGCCCTGAAATCCATGTTTCAGTTCCTGTTAAACACTCGCAACGTATTATATAGCCTAGCGACTGAATTCAGGGATCTCCTGAGAGTAGGACCCGAATTATTGACTAACAATGAACTGCCCTGGAAAGTTATCAAACGCTAATAAGAAGAGCCAAATCTGCATTTATGGGATTGTTTTCATCGGTTTATCAATTCTATGGAAAACGATGCATAAAAGAAAATTGTCATCAGTTTTGGAGAGCGTATAGTGCAGTGAATAATGATGCATGCTATCAAGAAGCAAAGCCCGCTCTCCTAACCCAATGCTCCCTAACGAGTCCAAATGGGGTCGCGTGAGCTTGGTTATCCCTAAGATCGCAAAATTCGCCTCGACAGCACTTTACGATATTCACAAAGGAGATGAAATCCTCAAGCAGCAGCCAAAGTAGCACTCAAAATGGCCTATAGAGGATGAACGCGAGATGACTAAGCTAATGCAACAAGTGCTGAAATCTGCATAATATATGCGATGACGGATGAGATATTAAAAAAGCACAACAAAGCAAAAATTGTCTGATAAGTTCTATCTCGACGCATACAATACATGTATGACGCATTGGTGAACGTTAGCCCATGTTATCGAGCTCATAGAACTCAGCTAACAATTCATTTGTCTTCTGTGTTTCCAGACCGCAGGAAGATCCAACACCTCGACCATTACCTCCACCTCCACCTCATGTAGAGTTGGCAGGAAGCGGAAAAAAGGACGACTATACGTTGAGGTGGGCGACACAGTTTTTAAGCGGTAACTTCTTTCAAATTCGTTGTCACACTCCATTTATAACGGTGATGCAAGATTAATGCATATTGATTAACTGACTGCGACTAAAAGTCGTGAAAAATTTTGTGGTGCTTGTCCTTTAAAAGGCGGCAGATGAATATTCGACCCCATTCGCTGGACAAAAATTTTTCACAAGAGTGTTTGCAATCATACGAATTCTTAGATCTTTGGCTAGCGCGATAGTTTTTCGGTTTTTATTGAAGGAACTATTTATTTTGACATAGGTGCTGAAGGAAGACTTTTGAGTATCACCAACGCATATTTCTCTCAAAACAGAGCTCCTTCTTTATACTGTTAGTAATCATTCGATAGCGTAGGATTTAAGATTCCAACTTTGTGTGTTTACTTTCTGGAAAGACCGTTTCTCTGCAGTGCGGCAGGAAAAATAAGAATAAGAAAGATTGATTTGCACACGCGATCATGTGCTCTTTGAACAATTCACGGGCCGCACAATGAGGCGACAAGGGGCCGGCACGATCACCGATTGATTTTCTTACATGAAAAGCGATGTTTGTTCTTTAATTAGAAATTACTTCTCCGCTTTGGAAGAAACTTCAGATTAAACATAGGACTCTGATACTACATGATTTTCTCTACACGCCCATGTGCTTTTCGTGTTTCCTGAGAAGTAATGTCTGAAATGCGCAGCCAATGTGAAACATTATTTTAGTTCGAAACGTTATAAAAGTGCCTTTCAAAAACCGGGTATGTACCGGGTAAACCAGAAATTGTTTTGGAATGATTACGAACACTTCCATGAAACGTTGAATGGGGTGGAATATTCTTATGTCGCCTTATAATAGACGAGAACCGTTTTGCCAAAAAAAATAATCCTTTATCAAAACGTAGCTGCTTTTGTTAGTAGGTTTCAATTTTGAAGAAGGAAATTTCAGAGGTGTTCCGTCATTAACTCGAGACGTTGACACTACCAAGAAAAAGAGAAGGAAACTATGGATTGTTTGATGATGTTACTTAGCGTTAACATATCACATTATATGAAGTATAGTTCCATAAAAATCCCCGATTATTCCTGATGTTAATTTTACATAAATAAACGTTTATAGTAAAGAAGTGAGCAAACATAACGAGTTATACACTGATATGAAGGAACTCAGCATATGTTTACACTGAAGGTTATTAGACTTTTCTCACGCCAACAATTTATGGGTTGGAGAAAAAGTACTGAGAAAATGCTTGTAACTTTTTTGGGTGTCAGTCATTCTTTTTGTGTTTTTGGGCTTAATTAAAGCCCGTGTTTTTTCGTGCTGACTTGTTATAATTTATCTCTTTATTTTAAGAGGGAATTAACAAGCGAGCAAACTGTATCTTCGTCTCAAGCCATACTGATGCGTTCACTTGCCACCGTTGCATTTGAACCTAACAGCCATTAGTGCATCATCAACAGCCTAGTTTGCTCGCTTGTTAACTACATCTTGAATTAAAGACATAAATTTTGAACCAATCAAGGCGAGAAAACTCGAGCTTTCATGTGAGCCCAAAAGCACAAAAAATGGCCGACACCCAAAGAAGTTATAAGCATTTTCTCAGAGCTTTTTCCTCAACTTATTACAAAGTCAAGTGTAATACAACGCCATAACTCTTGCGACAAGATACAAAGGCGCTTATAGTGACGGTCCCGCCAGACCGCAGACAGTAGGCTGATGAAAGATAACGCACTGTAGCGTAGAAAAAGTGCCGTGCTAAACGAGCGTCAGTGGTGCAACGGTTAGCATACGCTCCCTGAAAGACTGAGATCTTTGTTCGAATCCCGGCTGATGCAAGCGCTTTTGCAACACCACTCTACATTATTGGGTATACTGAAACATCATAACACCGCAAGTAGCAGTCAAATAAAACTGTTTTCTGATTGATTTCTGTGTTATTATTGTTTATACTGATTATGCATCGTTAGTCGTTGACATGAACATTTTGGTTGCATTGTAATCTTAAAACTGTGTTTCTGCTCCACTCGTGCTCTAAATCTGTCCTATCAGTTGATCATATTTTCAAGACGTTTTGAATGAAGAGTACTCAAGTCCTTTGTCTCATATTTATCTTGTTTCTAAGAACATTTACACATCCATGAATGGTGCGTCTCCACAAGTCCTCTAGGTTCTCGCGCATCTTCCATTTTGTACCTTATCTCGCCGATAATGTTCTGTCTCAAGTATGATGACGACTGTTGATACCGTTTCGTGACTCACGACCACTAGTGGCGTGGGCCACAAATACGTACTAACATTTGGTAGATGATCTAAGTAGACATTAGAGTCCACTTTACATACTTGACCTCATTTGCCAACTCTTTTGCCAGATCATATTTTTAACTCATAGAGCTTGAGGATGGAATTCAAAAATGTGAGCGTTTCTATGAAAAATGAATGCAATCACTCTTCTACATGGCCCCTTCTTTAGACTATTTTTAGTGTTTACTCAGATGTATGAGCGAATGGTGCGTGTTCTTCTAAGATAAGCACAGTGCTCCCCTTTTACAGTTTCGTCGAGCTCACGAACTATCGCCTCATATTTTGTTAGTATTCCTTGAGAAGATGATGATGTCGTTAGCGAATCGAAGGTTAACAGGGACTTGTTATTAGAGCGTGAACAATGTAATCGTAGTACGGTCATGGAGCTGGTAAAGGGGCGACTGCTAGTGTAGATACGATATTGGCTGTCTAATACTTTTCTAGAAATAAGAATTAACAACTTTAGCGCTGAAATTTTGGAGATTTGACTGATCGTCTGCTGATTGCTAAGTTGCTTATTAATGCTTATTTGCTTATAAATTATAAATTGATTGAGAGAAATGAGTGGTGAGCAAAAACAGGTCGGGCAAAATGTGCCTCAGTGGTGTAGTGGTAGAGCACGCGTCCCCGTATAGGATGAAATGTGGGTTCGATTCTCGCCTGAGGCCGTGTTTTTGCTCACCACTCAATTCTCTTAACTATACAAGTAACATCATAACACTGCAAAAAAAAGCAGTAGAAATGCTATAATTTCGAAGTATGAATTGATTGCTGCACAGCGAAAGATACTTGAGTGTAAAAGAAATTTTTACTTCACTTTTACATTGTGATAAAAATTCATAAAAAAAATAAAACACGCCCTCTATGTCCTCGATATTTAAGCCGAAACACAAGCTTACAGAGCTGTAAGAAATCCTCTTCGAAAAAAAAATTCATCAGTGAAACCTTCAGTCTATTTCTATCACCGCAGCTCATTGTGCATAGGGAAATATTGATGTGATGGAGAATTCAGACAAGGAATGAATTTCCGAAAATACATAGATAAATTCACACTGTTTTATTCAAAAATAGCGCAGAGGGAAGATGCGTCAGTGCCCGACAAGTGAAACGATATATGTGTGAACAAATCATGGCATCTACTACTAGCACTAGAAATTGCTGTCATTCTCCATAACACCCACTCACAAAGCGAAAAGATCTTCAATAGTTCACAAAGGATCGCAGTATTTTATTGTAACGTTCTGGAAATGTCTAACTCTGCTATCCTGCACGTACAAGTAACGTACGTTCAAACATCATTTATCACCTTCAAACTAACACAAGTCCCCCATTTTGTAATAGTCATACGCTCGCCCGACCACCACCTCAATGGATGACGGTGGCTAGACGGTGAAGCGAATGGAATCTTTGAAGAATTCATATGATCTGTCTATGAGGACGGATTAAATCTAGTACGCGAGTAAATGTACAAGCATATGTCACATTTGATTCGTACTAAATCATTTTCTCTATTCTTCATGCATATCGTGGATCTCCATCTCTGACTATCATAAACCATTCCACATGAGTTCAGAATTTTTCTCGGTTGTACAAATGTTAACCCTAAGGGACGGCTATAGAAATCAATGCGCTCAGAGCAAAATACGCAATTTCCGCTAACTGATTTAGGTTTTTCCCCCGTATTGTGAAATTTTTTGAAACTCTCGTATTTCTTTAATAGAAAAATTTTCTCTTTGCTCTTATGATTTTAGTTTAGATATATGCGTCTAGTACAGAAAAAAACGTTGGCTTATCAGGGGCTATGCTGAATATGACCAATAATCAACTGTATTGAATTGCTTGGAGTATATCACAGTAAAAAAAGCTCCAGTTCCGATCTATCGTAGTTTTATAAAGGATGCAAAAACCATCACAGCAAAAAAAAAATTGGAAACAATGAGTAATTTACAGTATGCTGTATTCGATTCTAGTTCATGAATAACTCTCACTATAGTTAAGCTTGAATCAGTCGTTCTCCTATTTCCAATTATTCGGTGCAGAGGTATGCGAGAAAACGTTAAGTACTTGTAGATAGTGGAAGAACTATGAGCGGTAAGGGATAGCCGTGCTTGAACAAAAGTCTTAGAACATCGACATTTTGCAAACCATTGCTCAGAAGTATGTCTCTAGAGAAGTATTCTCACTGCTTCTCTCCCAATTGCACCCCTATTCAAATAGACTATTTTTTATTTCTTTTTGAGGCTCTAGTAAACATTTGACAGCTTCTCTAGTAAACATTTGACAGCTTGACAGGGACAGCCGTGTTCGAACAAAAGGCTTAGAGCATCGGCTATGTGCAAACCATTGCTCAGAAATATGTGTCTCCGGTGAAGTATTCTCGGTGCTTCTTTCCCATTCGCACCCCTATTCAAATCAACTATTTTTATTTTTTTTGAGGCTCTAGTAAACATTTGACAGCTTAAATGTCGAGAATCTAAAGAGCGTGTTTTATCTTCCAAATATTTTCTATATTGTGCAGTAAAGGTCGAGTAAAGCTTTTGATACTTACGTGTCAGACGACGACAAATTTTTAAGTCAAGCTCTTTCGCTGGTCAAGATATATTCTTAGAAACGTTAGCAATCATTAGAAAGCTGAATTCTTTAGCTACAAGCTTGCGTTGCCAGTTCTTCAGATTACCCTTTCATGACGCTGTAGCATCCAGATAAAGATTTCGTTTCTCACTCGCATTTCACCTTCACTTTTACCGCGCTTATGAATCGCTGAAAGCACAAAAAGCATGTGAACTTCTAAAGAAAATTCCTCAATATCTAAGTAAACCGCCTTATTTGCAGTTTTATTCAAAATGGAGAAAAAAAATTCCAATAATATAGAGTGGTGCGCAAAACACTGGTAGTATAACGGTTCAGCACGTGCCCCCGAATAGGAAGAGATTTGGGTTCGAATCCCAGCTAACGCAAAGAGTTTATTATAATATTATATGACGTCCTACCTTATCCTTCTTGCTTGCAATAAATCTCCACAGCGGATTCGTGCGCAAGTGTTCGTGTGTTGCAGGTACAGATCGTCACTTTAGGCCGTATTGATTTTGGCAACCTAGTTTGGCCTGAGATTTGAGCAGCCTCTCCGTACTGGTCCTAACCGACACTGCCGTATCGGGGACTCTTTCGTGATCAGGGAACTGAGGTCTATATTTATTGCTGTGTTGAACATTTTAATACCCAACCTTTAATTTACTAGGCTCTAAACGTGGGGGCTGGGTACTCACGGGTAACTTTCCATTCTCTCTCAAAGTGAATGACGCAATAATTGACAGCAACGCGAATTAGCTGAAAGCTGCGCTGTAGCGTAGAAAGACTGGTGTCCAAAATGGGCGTCAGTAGTGTAACGGATAAAGCACGCCCTTCCTGAAAAACTGAGGTGCGCGTTCTAGTCCTGCCTGACGCAGAAGTTTTGCGCACCACTCTAAATCAGTTGGTATATTTGAAATAATCCATTATAATTGGCTCTTAGAGCCATCAAGCAACGTTTCATCAAAACCATTTCTTGTTGCGGAGACATGTACACCGGCTTGGATAAATTTATAAGACAGGTCCAGCTTTCTATAATAATTTCTTGTATATGAGAGTGAGATTTTGCATGGTGTGCAGATTTTCAGAAAGAGATTGCTAGAGTAGTAAGCACTATTTTATCATTATTAATATTCACTTAGATATTCATCTACGAGAATTTACATTCACACTCAAACACATATGTGTAATGTGAACGATGATAACTGTCTATTAAGATATAATCTGAGAGAGTGGAACCATCTATATGCTGTGTTCAAGAAATTAAACTTTCTAATTACAATATCGAGCAACCAGACAGAACAGTAGGTTACTTCTTCATAACCCGGTCTTACTTCTTTGCCCGCCTTTTCATTAAGCGGGATGATTGGCGGGGCACCTGGAAGAAACTGGACTAATAAGAGTGAATAGATGCATAATAACTTTCATTACTGAAAAGTAAGCACTAGGTTGTTTATAAGAGAGAAAGCTTACGGAATTGTCGTCAACGACTGATCTACCAATCTGTTCTGTCTGCTTGTTTTTCCTAGGCCGGCGCTATAACAATATTTCTAATGATGATGTATATACAAGTTGCTCACAAATCATCGTTTTAAACATACGCCAAGCGTTTTTACTGAAGGTGGAGGCGTTCTGGACCGCTTCTTAGTTCCAAGTGTGTATGTGACGCTGTGCACCTTCTTCTCCTACAATACAATCATTCCTCCTACAATGAATTCCAAATCAAACACTGTCTTAAGCAAGGTTTTGGAAGATGGACAGTTAATAGGAGGCCACTAAATCTGTGAATGAAAAGAAGTCTTACATGAGGGATCTCCCCTTCTTTGGAGAAAAGCTTCTCTACCGCCATAGCTGCTCCTACGAAGGAGTCCTGTTCCTAAATATTAACAATTTAGTACGAAAATTTCTCAAAATTAAAAGTCCTACGCTTTCTAAGCCTCAGAATTGGTAAAGAAATAGAAACTTT